AGTATGATATAAAAGACTTTTCCTATTGTAATAACCTAAATCAATAAGTATTTGATAAAAAAATTTATATGATTTTTATAACACCTAATAGACAAAACTACAAAAATGGTCCCTGTTGTATGCATTTTTTCTGAGGTTTAGTCTAAACCTCGACATTTTTTGTTGCGTGGTACTTTTGAGTTAGTTTCGTTGTGTTTTTGGTCTCTCAAAAAACTGAAAGGACTAAATTGCCCTTCTGATACCTCTTTAGCTTTTTTGTATTTAATTTAATGTGTTATTAAATTAAAATATGTGGACCACACCCTCTCTCTCTCTCACATAAACTCAGGTTTCCGAGATGAACGAGATGAATATATATGTTCTTCATTTATCTTCCAGAAACAAAAATTCAAGGCTCATTTTTAACACACAAAAAAATTAATCTCTCTCTACTCTCTCACCGATGTTCAAGCTTATGAAGAGCATAATTCTGAGCTTTTGAAAACCGATGAAAATACAGATATTAACATAAACATGCTGAACATAATCAAAATTTCTAGGTTTCTGGATGTTCTTATCTGAACATGAAGATGAACAAAAAAGTTGATGAATAAAAAATCTTAAACCCACTGTCTGTTCGTTACAAATCGAGACTCAAACTTGATTTTAGGAACTTAATTACGCACTTCAAGAACTCAAGAACGATTTTCAAGCTGTAAAAATTACCATAACCAGGAAAATCGGATCTGGTGGTTAGCTAGTGGGATCAGCTAGGACAATATCACCTTCAAAGAGATCTTTCATCTTCAAGAATCGACCCCCCCCCCCAACCCAAAATTTATGTTGGCATCTCGCAACCTTTCCTCATCTATCGGACTCCACACCAGACCCATTTTGAAAGGAAACCACACATTTGGAAGTTGACCGCTTCCATATTCTTTCTATGCTTTTAGAGAATCGATATGTCAAAGAGAGTAGGAATTTAAACAAGAACCTCCAATCATGTATGCTATCTCTTCCATTTTTCTCCTTTTTGCTTGTTGATTTCTAGTTTTGTTTCTGCTAAAATTTGAAACTACCGATAGCTTTAAGCTCTCCTGAGAGTTTTAGCGCCACATCTGGTAAGTTTTCGCATGATGATTGGATGAAAGGTAGGTGTATTAGGGATACCGATTAGGAGGGGGAAGTGTCTGTCGAAGTTAATTGGTAGGCGGTGTGTGGTGGAGATGGATCTCAGATGCTCTATGTCTTCATGGTCTCACGATGAGAGAGAGGCGGTGGAGTGTAGGTTCACGACAGTGGGCAACCATGGATTAAGGTTGTGTTCTTTGTGGGTTACTTTGTTTAAGAATCTTCTCATCACTGTCAATTATTTTGATGTATATAAAAGAACATAGGTTGATTTTGGAAACGAAAACCTTTAACATTATAAGTTATGGTGGTTCTTTTTGGTTTCTTTTGTGGGGAAGAAGAAGATATGGGAGAGAGAGAGAGAGACTGAGAGAGAGAGAGAGAGAGAGAAAGAGAGTGGGTCACATATTTGAATTTAATAAAACATTAAATTAAATACAAAAAAAACCTAAAAAAGTATAAGAAGGGCAATTTAGTCTTTTCAGTTTTCGATGGACCAAAAACACAACGAAATTAGCTCAAAATGACCACGGAGCCAAAAAAGTCAAAGTTTGGACCAAACCTCAGAAAAAATGCATACCACAGGGATCATTTTTGCAGTTTTGTCACACCTAATGTAACAAACACTACATAACAAACTTGTTGATAAAACATATCATTCATTGTCAATAACTTATGGTATTTAGCACTATATAGCTCAATCACATAGCTATATTCTAATCGAATAAAGTAATTGAGAGTGATCTGACTAACGAATCAAATCACCCCTACATCATGCTTTCTATAACATTGAGTATGCTCAAGGATTCCTGGTTGTTCTAGGTGAACAACTTGAAATCCTTAATTGATTCTTAAACTATTCCCAACTCGTACTTTCTAAAGTTGTTATGCATCAACTTTAAATATAGTTTCAGCATTTTATCAATATGGGCGGCATAAAATAACAGAAAAGCAATGAAAAACGTCGTTTTAAGTCATAAGATCCATAAATAAATTGTTATAAGATGTAATTTAGTCATATCCATTTCAATAAATGATAATACATGTAGAAGTCTTCTAATAGAAAATCGAGAATCGAGATAGAAGAATACTATAATAGATTAAGGAAAGGAAAACAATCTAACATTAACAAAATACGAAAATGAAACATGTATCGATGAGGAATTGAATCGAGAATCAAGATAGAAGTTAGAAGAATAGAAGATGAATGTGTATTGCGTCGGACTCGGTCACTCGGAAATCGGAACGGATGATGAATGTGTCGCAGAAATCAGAATCAGTAAAAGAATGCAGCTTCATTTCAGTTCCATGAATGCAATTATCGTTGATTTATTCTTCCGCTTGAATTATTTTGTGGTTACCAGATTAGATCTTTTAATAACTAAACTTTTGGACTTTGGAAAATATGGGGCCCCTTAGAATTGGGGGCTCTAAGCCCTAGCGTAGCAAACCTCTACATAAGGTCGGACATGTTGGCGGGAGAGAAGATGTTGGTTGGAGGGATAGGAATCGCCATGAACTAAGATGGCCGAACTGCGACGAAGTCTTGGAAATAATCGCAAAAATATAGGCACGCCGAGAATTATCATACTAGCATTTAAAGATCTTTATGTGAGAATTAACAATATTGACATTATCTTTTCCAAATCGACAAGGCTTTGTTATGTAAAAGTACTTGGATAAATTTCTTCTTAATTTTTTTTCTTAAGACAAGTAAAACTTTGTATTCGTTGATCTCATACATTATTAATATATACGATCTTTCGTGTTTAATTACTTGAAAGCATTCTATTAGGGCGCGTTTGGTAAGGGGTAATTAAGGCAGGAAAGGAATAAAGCATTCAAATGGAATGGCAAGACGTGTGTTTGGTTGGAGTACGGAAAGGATATCTTCATTCAAAAGGGAATCCCATTCCCCCTGAACACGGTGTTTTCATTCAAGGGGGTACCCCTAAATTTTTTCATTCCATTCAAGCGCTACTACACATCTTCCCATTTTGCCCCTGGAATATATCATGAACGCAGAAAAATCAGCTAGATATCAATTGATTTCCCTCCAAATAGGAAACAAATTAGCAACCACAATCTCCAAAATCGCATAAAATCAGCCACGTATGACAGCAGATCGTCTCTATATAGGGGTTCATTCGACCATTCTTAGTACTAGTAATCCCCTTTTTGAGATTTCTTTCAAGTTGATCTAAAGTTATACTAATCAAGAAACGTCGTCTGTGAAGGTTAGCATCTCTCTGCCTTTATGTTTGTTTATCTAATTTCTGTTCTATTCATTGCGTGTTCTTCTTTCTGTGTGCCAATGATATCATATAATTAGAGCTGTAAATTATTGTTTGTATGTTGTATAAATCTGATAAGAAAACTTGATTTTTGTCGTATGGTTGAGATTTATGGCAAGTTAAAGGCCTCTAGGTATCTCCAAATTGACGAACAAATGGCAATATTTTTGTATGTTTTGGCCCACCATGTGAAAACCGTGTGGCGAAGTTTCAGTTTCGTAGATCAGGAGAGACAATTAGCAAACATTTCAATAATGTACTCAATGTTGTTATTCGGTTGGAAAAAGAATTGTTTAAGAAACCTAAGCCTATATCAGAAACTTCAACTGATGAAAGATGGAAATGGTTCAAGGTATGTGATTTGCTAGACTCGAGTGTATATAGATTATTCTTGGTTAGTATTCTAATTCTCATACATATTTAATTTTGGCTATAGGGATGTTTAGGAGCAATAGATGGGACACACATAAGTGTACATGTACCAGAGGCAGACAAACCTAGATACAAAAATCGAAAATGCGAAATTACAACGAATGTACTTGCTGCTTGCACTCCTGATATGCAATTCATTTATGTATTACCAGGCTGGGAAGGATCTGTTGCAGATGGTAGAATACTACGTAGTGCAATGCTTCGAGAAAATGGATTACAAGTTAGTAAAGGCAACTATTATCTTGTTGATGTCGGGTACACGAATGGAGAAGGATTCCTCGCACTATTCAGAGGTCAAAGATATCATTTGAATACTTGGTTGAATGGTCATCGTCCAGAAAAGGCAGAGGAATATTTTAACATGAAGCACTCAGCTGCAAGGAATGTCATAGAACGTTGCTTTGGGGTATTAAAAAAAAGATGGGCTATACTTAGAAGTCCATCATTTTATCCCATTCGGACACAAAATAAAATTATCCTTGCTTGTTGCCTTCTACATAACTTTATACGAAAGGAATTGCCACATGATCCACTTGACGATGATGACATTATTGACACAATCAACGATGAGGAGGATACAAATCTTGGATCACAAGTCGAGCACATAACAACAATTGGAACATCGAATGAATGGACGGCTTTTAGAGAAAACTTCGCTAACTCAATGTTTAATTCTTGGAGATCTAGGCATAACTGATTTCTTATTGTTGCATTAAGTACATTGTGATACATTTTTATGGAATTTTAGTAATAAAGTGTTTTCAGTTGTGTTTGATAGTGACTTGTTATATATTTAGTTAATGTTTCTATAGTTCTTTATGTATCTTTTTTTTTAATTGTCAAGGTATGGAGTCACAAATTCATGGTGATAGGGGACCAGGAAAAAATAAAAGGAAGTGAAATGATATAGAAGACGAGAAACTTGTTGAAGCTATGGTTGATATACTCAATTCAGGTTCTCACTTTAAATCTGACAATGGTTTTAAGCCTGGGTTCTTTGGTGCGGTGGAAACACGACTTGCAGTCTCACTTCCCAACTCGGGAATAAAAGCAAAACCACATATTGAATCACGCATAAAAACTTTGAAGAGTGATTGGTCTGCGGTGCATGATATGATGTCATGGAACAACACAAGTGGTTTTGGATGGGATTATGAAAATAAGATGCTTGAAGCTCCTCAATCTGTTTGGCAAGCATATGCTCTGGTAATGTTTTTAATTGAATGATTTAAAACTATTTTTTAAGTATTTTTAGCATAATGTATTATTTATTTATTTTTGGATTTTTTTTAGGTACATAAGAATGCTGCAAAATGGAGAGGCAAAAAGTTTCCTCATTATTGGGACCTATGTCTTGTATTTGGGAAGGATCGTGCTAATGGAAGAGATGCTCAAACAGCAACGAATGTTATATCTTAGATAAATAACGAACAACAGGATCCAGACGATTACATGCAAGGAACTGGAGATGGGTTAGAGGATATAGATGTTGATGCTCCTGTGAGTAGTCCTACATATGCTCATTCTAAAGAAGATTTGAGTACACAACGAAAGAGAAAAAGAAGAAATAGTTGGGATCCTTTGATGAACAGCTTGAAAGATTCGGCAGATATAATTGGTTCAAAGATTGATAACGCAACAAGTACCTTTAATGCGGTTTTTGGGATCGAGAGAGATAGAGAAGACCTACGTAAAAAACTTAATTCTGAGATG